AACTCATCTTAATCGGGTGAAATTTTGTTTTTTTCCCATAAATAATAATACTCATTTTCCGCACTAAACGGCATTCTTCATTCCTTCTCTCTTCAAACAAAATACAGCTCGATTTCCGGCCAGATTTGGAAATTATTGCCATGTACTCATCTGAAGGTGAAAGAGTCGCATTCGAAGAGACCACCTATCCGACCGGGAACGTGGAAGAATGGATGCTGGAAATTGAACGCCTGATGCGATTCTCCATTCGCACCATTATTGGTCGATCGTTAGATGCGTACAAGAAAACACCACGAACGGAATGGGTTCTACACTGGCCGGGACAGATAGTGATTGCTGGATGTCAAACGTATTGGACCAGTGAAGTGACTCAGGCAATCGCTTCCAATGCACTGGAACAAATCTATCCACATTTGCTTCGTCAGTTGGACGGATTGCGAGAACTGGTTCGTGGGGATCTAAGCCGAATCGGTCGAATGACTCTGTCCGCCCTGATTGTGATCGAGGTGCATGCACGTGATGTGGTCGCCCGGATGATTGAGGAGCACGTGTGCAATTTGAATGATTTTGAATGGATCAGTCAGTTGCGTTACTATTGGGTCTCGGATGAGCAGGATTTGAGATTGCGTGCAGTGAACGCGGAGTTCAGCTACGGTTATGAATATTTGGGCAATACCACTCGATTAGTCATCACCCCGCTAACCGATCGATGCTATCTAACTTTGACCGGAGCGTTACATTTGAAATTCGGTGGTGCACCAGCTGGTCCAGCTGGGACGGGAAAAACCGAAACCACTAAAGATTTGGGCAAAGCATTTGCCATTCAATGTGTCGTGTTTAACTGTTCCGATCAGCTGGACTTTATGGCAATGGGTAAATTCTTCAAAGGTCTTGCCTCGGCCGGTGCTTGGGCGTGTTTCGATGAGTTCAATCGAATCGATATTGAAGTCTTGTCTGTGGTTGCGCAACAAATTACCACCATACAGAAAGCACAACAGCAACGTTTGGATCGATTTATTTTTGAAGGAGACGAGCTGGTTTTGAAACCATCGTGTGCTGTATTTATCACCATGAATCCTGGCTATGCCGGAAGGACTGAACTACCTGATAATTTGAAAGCTCTATTCCGACCGGTTGCTATGATGGTTCCGGACTATGCATTGATTGCCGAGATCTCGTTGTTCTCATTCGGATTCTCCGATGCGCGGTTGTTGGCCAAAAAAATTGTGACCACATTCAAATTGTCTTCGGAACAATTAAGCACACAAGACCATTACGATTTTGGTATGCGTGCTGTGAAGAGCGTGATTTCGGCAGCTGGCAACTTGAAACGACAAAATTCGGATATGGATGAGGTAAGATACGGGTTAGCTTGTGATAGCGTGTATCATGCGAATGTATTCACTTTGGTAGGGTTACGGGTTGTCTATGGTAAATATTACGTTCCTTTATTTAACCATTACGTACTAGGGTCATTGACTTGCATGTACGGATTAGAACTTATATATGCATATCATATATGCACATAACTACAAATAAGGTCACGTGAACCGCATTGGTCTTTCTGATCTACATCGATCGGTCACCGGACTTGCACAACATAGACGGTCGAGTGATGGAATCTCAAGACAGACAGACGTTTTCCAACTCCACCATCCAACTGACTTCCTACTGAAATCCAGTAGCAAACTTCCTGAAGTTATTCGATGTCAGGTCTTGTTAATGTGCCTCAATTGTGATGTTCACACCGTAATACAGTCGCAGCCGCTCATCCCCTGTGGATGAACACATCTACCTGATAGAACCAGACGGATCGCGGATCGTGTTCCATCAAGACTGGCATGGGCTTGTGCGTACATGCATGCCCTATTGTGATGTGGTCAGAATTCGCTCAGTATACTTGTCACACTAACGTGCGCAGAATGCTTCAACCAACTGAATGACTGACCGACCATTCTCAGAGAGTGTACATTCAGTCTGAGACTCAATAATCAGGGCTGTTGATTAATACAAGCCCCAAACCATAGGCTGGAAACTGACTCCGAGATGTACTCAGCCGATCGGAAGCGATTTGCGCACGACAATACAGCGGATCTTACCATTTCCTTATTAATTGGGGAAACAATCCCTTTGAATTGAGAAAGAAACGCTGCTACGGGATCCGCTTCTATTCAGCGCACTTCATTGGTCAATTGATCACGTTATTTTCTACCCCCTGATCGACCACCTGTCTTGCCACGCTCTTTCTGTGTTGAAATGAAGCAGACCTTAATCTTGCATCTTGCGGAGCTCGCTGATGCACATGGATTCAGTGGTCGGTGAGGGCGTGCCACTTGTGTGGGACAGCTAAGCTCGATAAGCCTGAAGGATGACGCACTGTGTTCGTGCGTGCCACAGCTAAGGCACAACTAATAGTAGTTGACCTCATCAGCTCTGCCAGGTTAACGGATCATGCGCGAGTCATTGCTTATGCCCACCGTGTGATGCTGCAAGAGAATGAGGTACACCTCAAGCGGCGACAATAAGACACCAACAGACCATGCTCGATCGATATCCATATGATTGTGGTTTATATCTTTTCAACTTCAAGTGAATCCAACCATTCGCATTCTATAGGGCCCCAACAAAGTGATTGGTTCTTCTGCTGTTACACGTGACCGATTGGACCGGGTCCATCGAATTCCTATCCTGTCGGAGTGCACCGATTTCTCCATAGACAAACCAAAGTTCCTTCTGAGTGAGTTACCGAGTGAGGATCAAAGTTTCGGTGGGGTGGAGTGCAATTGACTGTGACTGGGGAACGATCGCCTCCCCCCTCCCCACACCCCCAACCGGATACGTTATGTACACTGATCGTGTTAACTTTAGACGAAAATGAACGAACCCAGTGGTAATTGGCTTCAGTCGACTGAGTAAGCAAGCGAATCACCTCAAAATGGATCGATAAATCGGTCACCGTGNTGTCGGAATGAATCATTGCATGAGTGGGTTCAGTCTAGGCCCTCAGGAACCTAGTGAATCAATTCCATTAAGGCAGAGGTCCCCTCGAATAACAACGATTACTTTGAACCAAATGCAATTGTTGACATACAGTGCGATTGCTCTATCGTTTCACATTGTCTTTATTACCTTCTCACTCGTGACCTCGAACAAGTAATTCCCTCCGACCTGATTTGATCATTTTCCGCTATTTGCCATACTTGGAACCTCTCACCTTGTACTTTTTGGAATGCTCTTGTTGTCACGTCCAGTCTACCCGTGTGGTGGTGGCACACCTGCTGCACAGTCAAAGTTCACTGGGTCTGCCTAATACTCGCGGCTGTAAAAAAGGTGTAGTTTCTCACTCGGATTAACTGGGCAAGCACCAAGTCCTTTGTTGCGGCTGCCCCATCCTACCAACACTTGAGCAGCATCGGATTCAGAACTTATCCTCCTGTTATGCCAGCCACAAAATCACATGACTGATGGGGTTCATTTATTGATCGGTCGGATGGTTCAGCTGGAACAAGGGATCTGGTGCTTGCCCAGCTAACGCTGAAGTCCTTTAAGGTATTTGTTATAACTGTCCGCCCCCGGTGCGTGAAAAACACAAGTCATTGAACTGGAGGTGGTTGAATGGAATCGCGTCAACAGGATTTACAGTGTCAATGGGCGCAATACAGATCAATGATCATTAGTGGTAAGGCCGATAGTGGGCCGACCACTCACGTGAAATCCGCTGCAAGTAAACTCCGGCACAATTTGAACTCTCATCACAGCAGTTAATTTCAAGTCTACGGGCTAAAGTTGTCCCTACTCGGTAGGATTTACAATCGATGCAATAATATTATTTACCGTATACACTGTTCCGACGTTTATATGAAATCTCAACGGTAAGGTAACAATCAGTTCTGTTCAGTTCAGTTCAGTTCAGTTCGAATAGCCATTAACTATGCACTTTCGTGTGCCGGTTTTGGTTGCTGTCTTATGGTTGTCCATTTGGGTTCAAATGAAATTTGAAAGTAGGGTCGAACGGAAAATGGAGCATTTCAGTGGACTAATGTTGCAAAGAAATTGAGAAGATGCACGGACGTCACTGTTTGTGACATTCAGTCATATCACTCACTCAGTATCTCCAACCCCTGATTACAATGATCCCGATTTCTCATCCAGAGAACCTAACGCGATCTATATGACCGAGTCTCCTGGTTAGGGTTTTCATACCATCATGCCGAGTCTTTGTTTGAACACCCTTGATAATTGTCTACCTTCTACTTGCCTCGGCAAACATCGTGCGCTGTGACAACCTATTTGGTGACATGCGTTACACGTCCCAAACAACGCAATGTATGGAAGTCAACCACTTGTTCCAGTAGGCGACAGCGACCACCTAAAACTGTGCTCCTAAGCTCATCACTACTTGTCCGGCTACCCCACCAGATTTGTGCAATGCTGCCTAGACAACGATGTCGAAAATCGACGGTCTATGTTTATCCTGTTTTCCTAATGGCCGAGTTTCTGTGCTGTGTAGCAGAAGTGGCCGCACTGCCGTAGTATACACTCCACTCCTCACGGGCAACTAGATGTCGCGACGGTGCCACAGATACCTCAAGTTGACAAATGCCAACCGAGCCTTCTGTATGCGAGCTGATACTTTATCTGTGATAAGTCCACGAGGTGATATATAACTGCCCAGATAGCAAATTTTGTCTACTTTCTCTACCACTTTCTCAGTCAGGGTGTGGCTAGGGGGTGGACTAACCTAGTCTCATAGTAACATTTTAAACTTTGAAGGTACAAACGCATAGTGAACAGAACTACGCTGGCACTTAAACTATCCAGAAAAGCTTTCAACATGCCTGGGTCTTCACTTGCAGCACAATCTCGTCCATATCCAACAGTCTACCACCTGGGAACAAGTGGATGCCGCTACTCTCGCACGAAGATAGGGTTGTTTCAAGGGTACACCTTGGTGTGATGATCTCCCATTCAGTGATGGAAACCGGTAATCCAAGCCCCAGGACTTAGAGTGACAAACCGAATAAGGCCCCGATAGGTTGGGCTTGGTATTGAACCGGGCGATAGCAAATCTGCCTACCACCAAAGTTGGGTGGCGGTGGCGGACCTCAACTACAAGGTCTGAAGCGCCAATAGCAGCGGCTAAACCACCACGCCACCAGCACCCCATCTGATTTGAATGTTTCAACGGTTCTAAAGAAGGTTAGCTTTAAGAGGAGTAAATAATTATTTCGCTGTAGCCCTGAGAAGAAAATGAAAAACTCCGTCTAGTTGTTTGACAACCTTCATAGGTTGCAACAACCACGAAATTAAAATTGTAATTCTTTTTTGTTTATATGACAATTTTTATCCTTTTATTCACAGTTTAGTTCAGACAGCTGTTGAACGAACGTCTTAGTATATTAATTTGGTCTCTATTTTCAATAACGGAATCGAATCTTTAGTACCATAATAGTAAATTTTAAATTTTTGAAAACGATGCATCAATGACGCGGTGTATGCCAACCATGGCATACAATGAATTTCTCTTTCTGACTCTTTTAAAGATTTATCAATAAGTCTTGTAGACTCCAATCAGGTCTTCCAAAAAATCGTGTATAATAAACTATATCAGAAAACCCTGGAAGTACCCGAATTACTCCGCGGTTGTCATCGTTCCTTAAGAGTGCTGTCAGAGGAGAGCCGGATACGCGTACCTGATGAGTGGAACGAACCGCGAAACCATTCCTGTGCTTTCAGGTATTTTTCCTAGTCCATCATACACAACACCATGCAGCCAGTGAGTAATAAGCTCACGTGTTCCGTTTACTGGTATCAGAGACATTTAACCCAAACGACATTGCTATGGAAGTACCGTTGTGGTCCTCTAAACTGGCCTCATCTAGAAATTCTTTTCTGAATAAGAATTTTCTGAGTGTTATTGATGTGAAAAATACGCGTCAACCCTCTTTCGCACAGGAACTCATTTGCCTCCGTGCCATACGTGATGTGAACGTGCCGAAATTCTTGACCGACGATCTCAAATTATTCAACGGCATTGTGTCCGATCTGTTCCCGAACATCCGGTACGTGCATAGTTCATGACCCTATTGTCGGCCAAGCTTTTTGAATTTCACTGATCACGTGTCATTTTGTTCACCAATCCTTGTCTTGTGTGGATTTCGTGTGTCTGTCACTCATCTGACCAATCATGTGCAACGTACTGCGTGTGATCTTTCATACCTCATCACGCTCGAGGGCAATACGCTCGCACACGTCGCGTCGAAAAAAGCGATTGGCTATGGACGTGGTTCAAAGTGGGAGTAAAATGTGCAGTTCACTGCGTATCGGTCGTGAACGGTGCGTTCACGTCTTACTTAGTCACCTGATTTTTTACGTCCACTATAGTTTCAGTGCCTACGATTGGATTGCATAGATCAGATGGCATAGAGTTCCAGTTCAGATTTTATAACCATGCCCCTGCGCGCGACGGTATAGAGCAATCAGTTGATTGGGCTCAATCAACCCCATGCGATGTACGGGCACATTCGTGTGCACGACCGTGTCATCAACCTCTTCCTATCGTTTGATTTCTTGCGCAGCGATCACTCAGTCGCTACAAATCAATAAACTGGACCAAACGCAGTACCAGCCTCAATCAGAACTGTACGCCCAATCAGGTTGAAATCACATAAAGATTTGTTTTCCCCCATCGTGGAGCTAAGCTGTGACCTCCAACTCCCCCACCACCACCTCGCTCACTTGATCCATCGAGTGATACAAACGAGCACTGCATTTGTCCGTGTCCTCGCAGCACACTATTATTATTATTATTTAAGGGAAAAAGATGACACGTTTCGTTTAATATCCTCAATCGCTAACTTGAATCAAACAGGAACATTTGAAGGACATGGGGTTGTTCAATTTTGGTGAACATAAAAATTACTAAATATGGAAACAGGTCAACATCACGGTAATTGGATTGGTTGTATCAAAAACTTTTGTGCGCATGTGGGGTGATGTAACAGAACAAGCAGCCCTTCACCGTCTACTTGTGTTCAAAGGGGACCATGTTAACAATGATGTGAGCCATAAGTTGAGGTCGGCTCCAGACCGCACATTCCGATCTCCTCAAATCAGATTTATTACCTCTACATGTGGAGTTGATTTGGACAAACGTAAACATGGTTGGCAAACCGGATCACCTGCAATGATGTTGACGCCTACGTCGGCAGAAAAAAACAAAAACAAACTGTCGGCCCTGACAACGGACGGGCGAATATATTCCAAAGAGGTTGGTTAAATCGATGACGCAACCAGTAATTGAGGATCAGATGATAACAGGAAATCCAGGGTCATCTGTTGCAAAATATATCATAACAACAAGACACAGTTGACCCCGATGCGTCTTTCAGACCCCTATCACGTAATTGTGGTGCTCAACTTTTGGCGATTGGTGAAGCGCTGCTTATTCGATGGCATAACCCGACCTTAATTGAACAAGCCTATGTGCTATATATATGCCTGTTTGTTTTAAGTCAGCGATTACTATTATTATTATTATTATTATTATTATTATTATTACGCACCCTCCAGGAGTTGAAACCACACAATCGGCTGTTGTGTCTAAATTTATACGGACAATAAGAGAAGGCTTTTACTTACAAATATAACGATTTTAGATGATAAAATAACTTTTTCGGAACAGATAAAAATACCTATCACGATGTTTCTTTTATGCAAAAGCGGAGTTCCATAGTGACAATTACTTCTATTTATCTTTCATAAAAGTAATACGGTATTTTGTCCCTTCATCCGTGTTGATTTCGTTTTTTTCACAGTAACCGATGCATAGTTCCAATTATGGACCTTAAATGCTACAGTTTATCAGATTTGAAATTGAATGAAATTGCATAATTACCCTCGGTCGATTCTTGGCTATCTTTTTCGGAGACCAACCACTTCTTACTGCTTTGGCATGGAAACAGTTTTCTATTCAGGCAGCCACATGCGACCCTGACACCATACACACACCAGAGAAGTTTCTCACATGAGCTCAATAACTAAAAACCGATTCGATCGTTCTGGCTCTATACCTTTTCAACTTCAAGTGAACAGATAGTCGACCTCCATAGATTACGCTGGTCGGGACATGTGCTACGCATGTCACCAGATAGGTTGCCACGGTGAGCGACGCTTGGCGAGGCAGGTAGCGGTTGGAAGGAAATGAAGGACGGTCAAACTAAGACCGGGCATGAGGGTATGAAAACCCTAACCAGTAGACTAGGTCACATAGGCCCCGTTAGGCTATCTGGCTAGAGACCTCGGGATGATGATCACCGATGGTTAGCTACACTGAGTGATATGGCTGGGTGTCGCAAACAGTGGCGCTCGTGCATCCACTCGTTATTCTTGTAACTTCAGTCTATGAAAATGTCGTACCTTTCGCTTAAATCTGCTCTCAACAATGGGCAACCAAAAGACAGCAACCAAAACCGGTGCCCGAAAGTGCATGGTTAATGGTTGTAAGAGCTGAACGGAACTCAAGTGAATCCGTTGTAACTGCAAGTGAATCTAACTAATCGCACTTCATTGGAAACCCCACAAAATGATAGGTGTTTTGGTCGTCAAATGTCACTGATTGGACAGGGTCTCTCTAAACTCCGTCCAGTTCGAATGAACTAACTTCTCCGTACACGAACAAAAGTACATTTTGAGTGAGTTACCGAGCGAGGATGAATGTTTCGGCAGGGTGGTGGGTGGGTCGAGGTGGGTTGTTCTCCCCCCGCCCCCCCCCACACACACCCGTTCCACCCCGGAACGTTATATTCGTGATCGTTGGTCAAGTGTGCGTCATAGATACGAATGAACCAACCCGGAATTAATTGACCTCTGTCGGTCGGGTAAGGAGGCGAATTACGCCAAGACGGATCGATAAGTCGGTCACCATGCCTAGACGTGAATGTGAGCATGATTCATTGCATAAGTGAAGTCAGTATAAGCCCTCAATAACCTCACGAGTAAATTCCACTGAGGCCGAATAAAACCGATTCTTTTGGATCAAATGCGATTGCTTACGTATTTCTGACATTGAAATGCACACTTGACAAGATACTTAGCATACATAATTTGATGGGATGACTACCGCAGTTATTTTCTTTCCCCGAATCAAAGATGACTCCTCCTTTATACAAAGACAACCGTGGGTAGAATATTTTACCGATCTCTACTTAATACCCCATGAAGCACCCAGTTCAGATTTATCATCGCCTGTGGGATCATGGATAACTGTAACTTATTAATATCACTACTTATCTTATTCACCAAACTATAAATGATCGCAGAGCTGTAACCAGAATGTGAAAAGATGCGACGGGCTAAGCAATGATACATTAAAGATAAGAACCTATGCAATGAAGCTGAGTAGCGAAGGAAGAAGCCGCAGGTAACAGTGTATTGCCATTGGCATTGTGGATTGAATGTATTAATCAGTCAGGGAAGGACAGAAAAGTATGAGTTCTGTCAGCTAGCGGATAGCTTCCAATTTGATCTTACTATTCAAGTAAAATGCTGTTTCTTCTTTCATCATTGTTACCATTGTCAAGTATCTTGTCAAATGTGCATTTCAATGTCAGAAGTACGTAAGCAATCGCACTTGATTCAAAAGAATCGGTTTCATTCGGCCTCAGGTTATTGAGGGCTTATACTGACTCCACTCATGCAATGAATCATGCTCACATTCACGTCTAGGCATGGTGACCGACTTATCGATCCATCTAGACGGGGCCACATTCTGTTCGTATGCGAGCCCCTATGGTTGTTCTACGTTTTACCATCGTATACCATCCCGCTCGGTTCGTATTACCGTGAACTTGAGACTTCCGTGTGCGCGAGCACTTTTTGGTCGCTATCTTTCGGTTGGCTGTTCAGTTCGGTCGAACAGGGAGGAAAGAGTGAGTGAGAGAGAGGTTAAACGAGTGACAATAGTTCCAATATAACGACGAAACAGAATAAAAGTGGACTGAACGCCATTGTTTACGGCACTCATCCGCGTTGTCTATGTATACTGTGGCTGCTCACTTCGACCATGATAATCAACCGAAATTTGCTTTGGTATGTATATCGGCTTACCAGGATGATACATGTTTGTAACTCAGTGCGCATTCATTGGGTATGGTATTACGTCCTGAAAGGTCAATGTAACCACCATGCGTCACTAACCCTATTATCATTGGTATTGTGGACAGAATTCAGCAACCAACCAGGGAATCGCAGTGAAAAAGCTACTTTCTCCTGGCCATGCATACATAAGTTCAGATTCGATCTTGCTATTGAGGTGCTATTTGTCTCACTGTATTGCTCAGCATTTTATCAATCCTAGAAGAATATGGGGACTCGTACTTGGTTCGAAAGAACTGCATCTATTCGAGGGAACCTCACTTGGTCATTGAGGGCCTAGGTTACGATTCAGTCAACATTCACGCCTCAACATGGGGATCGATTTATCAGTCCATTTTGAGGAGGTACCTTTATTAATCGAAGTAAGTACGGATTACAAATCACAAATCGCGGTCGCAACTGAGGTACATAATCGCAATCGCTGGAATATCTCGTCACCTCGACAAAGGAAAAAGGTCACAGGTATAGCTGGTTTATTGAGAAAATTAAATGTCATGTGCAAAGAAGTTATATTGGTTACACAGGTTTCCACCAATGGACTGCTTGTATTCTGGACGTTATACAGCTTCTGTATGAATCACACGACTTCTGACTGGTCGGCACGATCGGTTTGTGATTTGTAGTCTATACCTTTTGCAATTCAAGTTGTCCCAATATCATATCAAAATGTCCTCGGGTCATTTTAAGAAGTCCAGGAATCATTTTAAGTTGTCCGACCATTATTTAAAGATGTCTGGCGATTATTTCAAGTTGTCCCAGTATCCTTTCAAGCTGTCGCGTTGACCTCACCGATGCTGACAAGCCTCACAGTGATGTCCGGATGACCACCATGCAGCACCGATTTCTCTACCTCCCGTTGAAGTGTGGGGGATGATTGTGAGACGGCCTTCGGTCACACACGCCTCAATTCCCATTTTATACATATCGGTTGTTATACCTTGCTAGCACGCGTACGCTTCTGTGTGTGTCTTCCTCTGCTGATACCAGTGTATCGTGCGCGATCAATACTTGAGCCATTACTTACCGCTATCGCACGATGCTGCAGTAGAATTCAGTAGTGTACATCCACACAGTGGTAACACACACGTCTTCCATGCGACGGATCCGGAGTTCAAATCCCGGACGGGACGGTGGATATGCACTACTGATGAGCTCTAATAAGAGAGAAACTCGAGTCTAGTGCTTCCGGTTGCATGTTTGACTGGAAGAGCTGAGGATTGTGCATGAAGGTGAAGTTCGAAGGATAGTCAGTCAAATCAATCAATACCAATTATCCCACACACACTACTCACAAGTGTTTCGACCTGGTTGGGTCACATCAGCAGTGCGAATCCATCGACCCAACTGGGATCCAATCGAGTCATAACCACGGAGGCTAGTGCTGAGATGAGCGAAGTCTGTGTCCTGCAACAAGCTCGCAAAGATGGGTTGTGCTATATCGTGTAAAAGGAAAGTGAAAAACGGTCTGATCAGATGCTCGGTGGATGAGTGGGTAGCATGCCTGCGTTCTGCCCATGAAGTCCCGCGTTCAATCCCCAGTTGGGTCGGTGGATTCGAACTGTTGATGAGACCCACCCAGGTCGAAACGGCTGTCCAGTGCTTCCTAGGTTTTCAGATCACGTTTCACTTGCCATATACACGACGAATTCCCATGTGAAATAAATAGAGTACTTTGGTCCATTGGTGGACTTATGAACTATAGATCAGAGAGATGTCAGATGCAACCCGTGACAAAAGTAGTACACCGTGAAATTTTCTATTACCTCCGTCTCTATGTGCACGGTCATCCCCATTTTCACTCATTTAGATGGCAGCCAAATGAAAAGCAGAAATACAAAATTTCATACCATCCTATAACGAAAATATTTCGATGAATAAATAAATATTTTCACTGAGACAAAAGTATATATTGCATCCCCACCCTCGCTCATTGAAACTAGTTAGATAAAGAGTGCATTGGCTATTCCATTTCCGTACACCTCGGCATACTCTGTAAGAGTTCCATTAGTGTCACCACTCTCTAATCAATAATACCTCTAATTCATGTTTTTGTGCATGAAATCCGGCCAGAATAGCCCAAATATTGTCCATTGCATTCAAGCCTGGGCTGAATGCATGCCACATCATTGTTTTGATACCACGAAATAATTAACAGCATTCTGTTAGATACAATATACAAGATGCTACAGCAGTCCTGCTCTACGATGTGGAGACTTGTCCACCCATGGCACGCGATGTTTGCCGAGGGAAATAGCAGATAGAAAATGGTCAAGGGTGGTTAAACAAAGACCTGGCATGAGAGTACGAAAACCCTTACCAGGATACTGGGTTTAATAGGTCTCGTTAGTCTCCCTAGATGGGGATCCCAAGCTCATGGTAACCGGTGATTGGAGATACTGAGTGATATGACTCAGTGTCGCAACCAGCGGCGCTCGTAAATCTACTCAATTTTCTTGCAACCGCAGTCTATATGAATTCTCTATCTTCGGTTTGACTCACCTTGACCCTGCTCTCAACATTCCAATCTTTATTGTGCTTTGAATGACGAAGCCAAAAACACTGGTTTGCACAATGTATCATGGATCATTTCACTGCATCTGTACGCGTGCATACTGTAGTCTACGTAATCAGTAATATACGGTCAATAAATAACAGACTGCAGTATATGAACATGTACAGATGCCGTGAAACGGTCCAGAATACAGTGTGCAAACGTGTGTTTTTGGCTTCCTTATTCAAATTCGTTACGGGGAAACTATGCTTCCAACTTCATTCAGCTCTTTTATTCAAATGGGCAACCAAAGGACAGAAACCAAAATTGGTGTATGAAAATGCATGATTAGCGGAAGTGAAAAATGAAACTAAACAAGATAGCACTTATGAAGCCCCGCATTATCATGCTGGAGAACAGCTCCCCTGGGGCCATTTACTACCTGTGCTGGAGTAAGGTGCCGCTTCAATGTACGACCGTATGCGTCAGAATCGCGCATCACCGTGGTATAGTGAATTCGTTTGGGCTGTTACTCGAGAAGGCATCTGTGGTGATCCTACCCTACGGGATAACGCCAGCCACGGAGAGGAGCGTTACAGTTTCTGGACAACTGTGGTGATTCAAACCTACCAGATGACGCNCGAACCACAAGCCTATCGTGCCGACCAATCAGAGCCCGTGCGGTCCAAACAGAAGCTGTGTGACTTTAGGAATACGAGGACGCGATTGGTGGATACTTGGATAACTAACAAACGTCTTTTGTAAATGTTCTTTCAATAAAAAGTTGCTGCTTCTGTGGCCTTTTTCCTGCGTCTTGGTGACGGAAGATTTCAGCGTGAAGTGCTAGTGCGATTCAGTGTTTCAGTTGCTTCCGTGATTCGTATTCTGTGTTTACTTTGATTACTACACATTGATCTGAGGAAAGGGATCAATTCTGCATTTAGCGTTCTCAGCATGCTTCTTCCACTGCACCATGGTCAACAAGGGGTGTATCGACCGTTGTGGATGTCTCCTATCCATCACTTTCATTAACGCCAATGGGAGTCACTGTTACCGGGGTGTCACATGATTGCAATTTGCACCATTCTATCGACCACTGACTCAACACGATTTTCAGTTGCCATACCGAAGTGTGAAAGTGGGATCCTTATCGTAGCCGTGTTTAAATCGAGTTAGAGTGTGAAGCTTTCTGGGAATGCAATAATTTCCGCGTTGAAAATTACAACTTTTCATGTATTTTCGTTAAAATAATCGATAATGTAGCTTTTCATTTGGGTACCGTCTAGATTATCCAAAACGGTGCTGGTCGGATGTAATTCGAAATTCTAAGGGTGTGTGTGTGTGTGTGGGGAGGGGGGTGCATTACTTTTATCGCGAAGTTTATACCCCGTTCAAAATCGGTAGGTAAAGCACCATTCATACTAATTTCCTTTCATACATGAAAACACACCGAAGGTTGTTATTAGTTTTGGAATGTCATTCTATCCAAATGCTAATGGCACTCTTCTCGTTTTTTCCCACCCACCCGCATTCTGTTTAGCTATCTGATGTAAGTTCCCCCTTCTAAACCCTTGTTCATTCCCCTTCCTCATTCACACCAGTCTTCTGATATTTTTTTTTCTTACTCTTATCAATAATATCTCCGCTATTTGTGTTTAAGGGAAGCCCCGGTCGATTATGGTGATCTCATGTTGGCATTGAAAACTTCCTGTGGTAAATTGGGCCTATTAGATGTGGAAGGTGAGTCATGCGCTCCACGGAACTGTACATGTACATGTCATACGCATGTCATAAAACGTGCTCGAAAAATGCTTTGAATCGAGTCTGATTTGAATTTGAATTTACTTTTCCTTTATCATCATAGGTTTTCTTCATAAATGCATTCAACTGTATGAGACAACTGTGGTTCGTCATGGGCTTATGCTTGTCGGTCCAACCGGATCCGGTAAAACGAAGGTAAGTCAGTGTTCGAGAAATGTCCAACTGTATATAACTAACGTATATTTCTCATCAGGATGTACACNNTACACCACCTGGCTGAGGTCAGAGCAATCGGGGGGGGGCGAATTGCAGAACCAGTTTATGCAATATATGTGAAGGGTTGAGTGTCTTCTGCGGCAGTTGAGCCAGTTCCGCTATACAGCACAGAAACTTGGCTATTAAAGAAACCGGATAAAGATAAACTGTCGGTGTTTGAACATCGCTATCTACAAAGCATTTCACGAATCTGGTGGGACAATCGGACAAGCAATGAGGAGTTTAGATGCAGAGTTTTACTTAACTGCAGTTGTCCACTGGGACAAGTGGTGGAATTCTATAGATTACGTTGTTTGGGGCATGCGTGACGCATGCCATCAAAATAGATTATCACAGGGGACGATGTTTACCGGGGCTGATAGTGGGTAGATAAAGGTCAAGGGTGGTCAAAATAAGACCTGGTATGATTGTATAAAAACTCTAATCAAAAGACTCGGTCATAAAGGTTGCGTTAGGCTCCATGGATGGGGACCTAATGAGCATGGTAACCGGCGGTTAGAGACACTGAGTAATATGACTGAGTATCGTACATAGTGACGTTCATGCATCTCCTCACTTTATATGCAACCTAGGTCTACTGAAATTGTCCATTTTCTCTCCGACACTGCTTTCAACTTTTCCGTCTTTTCAAACAAAACAACAGAATGATGAGAGAGCTCGTTCTCCGAGATTCGTATTCATACCAATACATCTCACAATGTACTACAACTTTGGAATAAAATTGTCTGTCTTTCTCCTACTGCTTCATCTAAATGGGCAGGCGAAAATCAGCAACCCAAACCGGAGCACGAAAGTGTATGGTTAATAGTTGTACAAATTGAAAACAGATAACTCAATGGTATTAGTGACTAATGGGCTTTCAGTTAGGATTGTACATTAATGGTCTCGTCGCAAAATGTGAAAGTAGTAATATCACTAATGAAAGAGACACAAAATATTTCAGCATGTGTATAAGCCACTATTAATACAATTCGTTAAGAGACGTGGCAATCGAACGAGGTACGGATTACGCACCACGAATCAAGGTCGCAATTGATGTACAAAATCACACTAGCAATTGTACGCTGGAACCTAACATCACTGGGATGCAGAAGAAAGGCCACAGAAGTAGCGCTTCATTAATTGTAAAAGATCAATGGGAAAAAATGAAATGCAAATAGACATATCATTGGTCAAACGGATATCAACCAATCACCGTTCTTGTCCTTCTGTTTGAACTGCGTGATTGTTAATTGATCCAATTTCACTGTTAATGCATGACCCAATGTCCAGAAAATAGAACGCATGCGCGCTTGGTTGGCTTCATCTGGAGGACTGAATCACCACAGGACTGTACTAAACATGACAGAAAAACGTGCCTAATTTCTCACTCCCTATTGAAAAAAACATTTGACATGATTTCTGAAAAGGTAAACGTTTGATAGCCACTGAAAAACACTGAAGGTGTTTGCTTGTCCCCGTTTCTTTCCAGTGTTACAAAGTATTACAGAACGCGCTCACCTCGTTGCGTGATAAACCGGCTCCGGATGGAACATTCTTTCAAACAGTGCACACCTATATACTCAATCCGAAATCCATTACTATGGGCCAGTTGTACGGTGAGTTTGATCTGCTCACCCACGAATGGACGGACGGGATTCTGAGCACACTGATCCGAAAAGGTGTGGCTTCTAACAACGAGGAGAAACGCTGGTATCTGTTTGATGGCCCGGTTGATGCAGTGTGGATTGAGAATATGAACACGGTGCTGGATGACAATAAGAAATTGTGCCTGAGCAGTGGTGAGATTATTAAACTGACCGAGGCGATGACCATGATGTTCGAGGTGGCCGATTTGGCTGTGGCATCACCGGCCACTGTGAGTCGCTGTGGTATGGTCTATTTGGAACCGAGTATTCTCGGACTGGATCCGTTCATTCATTGTTGGATTCGAAAATTGCCCGATGCGATATTCACACATCGGGACAAATTGCAAAGTTTGTTTGAGTTGTACATGCAAGTGAGTTCTGTCGTGGTAGATGCACATTGATCATTCACATTGATGCTATCATCCGAATTTGAACCGTATTCTTTTGCATAAAAAGAACAATTTTCATTCAGCTCACAGTTACTTATGAGTAGTGTGGTGGGATAATTGATATTGTCTGCCCGGAACTAACCACACTGTGCACTGTACCTTCACACACAATCCTCAGCTCTTCCAGTCAACTATACACACGGAAGCACTAGGCCTGAGTTTCACTCTTATTAGAGCTCATCAGTAGTGTACATCCACCATCCCGTCCGGGCTTTGAGCTCTAGACCCGTGGCATAGAAAGCATGTATGGGAGACCTGATTTTATGGTAGACTTTCGATTGGAGTTAACAGATAGTCGACTGTTGCTGTCGGGCTACATTGAACCAACTGACTGTCTCTAAAGACAACACCTGAATAGACGAGAATAGGCGATTCGGTTCAGCTTTGGCAAGAACTGGTCGGCACAGTGGTAACACATGCGCCTTCCATACGATGGGTTCGGAGTTCAAATCCCGGACCTGACGGTGGATGTGTTGTATCCCGTATAAACCAATAAGTACGGTGAATTAAGTAGTTATTCTATTTTCACTATGTAAATCCAAACGTAGCCAGTCCGTAGGCCAGTGAGTAAGCAGTGCGTCAACACGCAGGCAGGCAGGCAGGCGAGCACAAAAACTGGTGCCGGCGTTACCCAAAGGAGTAAGTCTTCACGTTGGGCAGTCAACAAACCAATCAATGCGGATAAGTCAATACTGACCTCTGATTCGCTGAGGCGGGTCGACCTTGTAACAGTCCGCATGACGTGCCTACGTGTGTGTAAGGGCAGGCCGCAACGGTCACTCACGTGATGTGCTGTAAGCGTTTCATTCGACTGCAGGCCACAACAATATATATGCACTACTGATGAGCTCTTCTGATAAGAGCGAAACACAAGTCAGTGCTTGACTGGAAGAGCTGAGGAATGTGTGTGAAGGTAAAGCCTGAAGAATGGTAAGTTTTAAGCAACCAAAACTTAAATTTTCCTGATAAAAAAACGGAAACAGAACTGGCGATGAGATGACTGTTTAGAAGTCCGGAGGTCAGAATTCAC